AAAACAGATTTCTCAATGCTCAGTCACCGAAGACGCAGGTGGCTTGGTCACACTTGGAGAATGAAAGATATCAGAGCCCTTCTTTTCTTTTTTTTCTTTAAGTATCTCGAAAGCTGAAATACTTTGGTCATATCAAGCGCCACGACGGATTGGAAAAAATTATAGCAGAAGGCATGGTACCAGGAAGGAGGGGAAGAGGCCGACCGACACGAAGATGGGCACATGATATAAGTGACTCCTTGAGTGTGAAAGTTCATGAGGCGGAAGAACTGGCAAGAGACCGAGTTTCTTACAGGCAGACTGTGATGAGAGCGACGTTCTGCAAAGGACCTGCTACATGATGATGATGATGATCCAGAAACCATGAGTTTTTAACCTTTTAGCTCAGTGCTGTGGATAATGCTACCCTTCGGCCTTGATTCCATGACAGGTACTGTAAATGTGGGAGAAATCTGGCTTTTCTTCATAGACCCGGGCTTGAACCCGGACCACAAGGAGTTCGTCATTAGCTGGTCGGTAGACGACTTCGTCGTCGGTGGAAAAGTATTTGCATCCGTCTCCTTTGATCGCATCAACACCGCAGGAGTCCTCCTCGGGGCTCTGGGTGGCGCACAGTGCTAACAGCCATTTCATATGGCGCATATAATCTAGTCGCACTTATAACCTAAAGCTCCCCCTTTGAGGATGCTGGCTAACCTGACGATTGTTAATTTTCCCAGCAAAGCACTCACATACTTCTTCTTCTTCTTCTTCTTCTTCTTCTTCTTCTTCTTCTTCTTCTTCTTCTTCTTCTTCTTCTTCTTCTTCTTCTGCCTTTCTATTCCCCAATGGAGCATAGGCCCTCAACCAACTCACGCAAAGTTGTTCTATCCTTCGCTGTTACTTGGAGCTCTCCCCATCTCCTCACCATCTTTCTAACCTCATTCTCGAGCTCTCTTTTCCATGTTTTTTTTTTTTTTTTTTTTTGCCTTCCTTTATTCCTTTGCCCCTATGGGTTCCAATGCAAAGACATTCTAGTTATGCTGTTCTCCTATTTTCTCAACGTGTGTACTGCATACTTCTTTGACAGTTAAAAAAAAAAGGGCGCTGCAGATGTTTCAAAAGAGGCGAAGGTTTTACTTTAACTGATCACAATCATCAGAAAAATTTTTTTCGTCGCTTTATGAGAAGATGAGAAGAAACCCGAGAATCCATATGTCGTGGGTTTAAATCCGAACGGAGCCCGACATTTTCAAAAATTATCTCGACTCTCAGGTCGACCCAGGCTTAAAGGGTACTAGGCAAAGTCCTGGGAAGTAAAAGTGGCCTGCGTGATGTTGACAACATCATGCCAAGTGGTTTATATAATATAGGCCTTGCAGTATATGCCCTGGTTGAACGGGGTTTCTGGGTACGTGTGGCACCGTGGCGAAGCGGCTATAGACGCTCGCCTGCGGGTCGGAAGGCGTGGGTTCGCTCCTTTTTTTCAAAAATGACCTTGACTCCCATGTCGACCCAGCCTTGAGTGGGTACCGGGTGTAGTCCCAGGAAGTAAAGGCCATATCACCCATCTGTGCCGATCTGTCTATACAAATATAGGTCTAGCCCTATATGCCCTATAGCCTACAGGCGTGGAAAAGGGACCTTTACCTTTTTTTTTTTAAAGAGGGTTCCGATTGTCAAAACTGGAGCCTTTGCGGATTTAAGCTGGAAAACAACATTTGAAGAGTTGAATCGATGATCCAGAAGAAGGTTGTATTTGAATAAATGTAGAATTTGTGCACGAATAAATGTAGGTTTTTTAACCTCAATTTAAAAAGAAAAAAAAAACATTCCACGAAAATTAGCCCATTACATTTTTTGAAGTAAAATAAGTAGAAGACCCAGTCTTATTTTGAGGTATCACGGTAGGCTTCTCATCCTTGGAATGTTAATCCTGCGGACTGCAATTTTGGAAGGGACAAGACAAACTGCTGCTCCGTTGTGACGTCACTTCCTGCTTCTAGCATGGCGCTGGTTCTTTCTGTTCTACAAGAAAACAAATAACTAACACAACGATATAACTCTGCCTTTTCAAATTTAACCACAATTAACACCGCAAAGACTGGGTAGTCTCTATTTTATATTTGTAGATTAAATCGTTTCTTGCTTTATTTATGTGAGAGTTGTGGTTAAAAGAAAAATGACGGTTTTTCCACACCGGCGTAGTTGTGTGAAAAGCCGTCCATGTTTTGTTTGTGGTTAACTGGAGATTGCATTGTTTGTCGTCGTTAGGGCGTCTTGTCTACTTCTACACACGAAATTGGGTACTCCTTGCAACAGCGACCCTAAAGAAACACGACAAACAGTAAAGGAAATGAAAGAACCCTTTGCACGTCTGCAGGTGTATATTATACACATTGAATTGGGCATAGGTCTGTAGGGAAGAAGTCCTATAAATAGGCTATATTTTATAGTTACAGACCAATCGACTCTTGGTGGATGATATGGACTGTGTGGTCAGCATTACACCGGCCACTTCCCAGGACTCTGCCTGGTACCCATTCAGTTCAAGGCTGGGTTGATGTGGCAGCCAGGGTTATTTTTGAAATAAGTCTGGTACCGCCACGGTGGCGCCAGGACCCGAACCCAGTCCCATGACCTTCCGATCTGCAGGTGAGTATCTAGTTACTAGTTGTTACACCATGGCAGCTCCCAAGCCCAAAGAAACAACACCCCAATTTTTCCTTCGAAGTCGGAGTACAGCTACCCATAAGGCAGGGAACAACAAAACGGTTGTACACGCAAAACTCAGGTCCAGGTAAAAGCCAAAAGTCCAAGCGGACGATTAACCAGGACCTTCCGCCGGAATTCACAGCCGGTGAACGAAGAAGAAGAAGAACACCCCAATTTAAAATATCTAACACTATCCTAGAGGTGACATTTAAAAACAAGATTAGAAATAGCCTCTTCGGCTATCCTCCGAATAACGGTCCTAAATTATCGAGGCTGAAAATATACCCTAACAGGGCCTCAGTCAAATGTAAATTGCAGACCTCTTCCGGTGACTACACAGCATACTGCCGAGAGTATCTCCCGTGCCGCTACGCGCGGAGCGGGTCTAAACTAGATGGCTGGGACTCATAAGCAAATAAAATGGAGGAAGCTGCATGAGATGCGGTAGCTGCTACTCGTGAGTCCTAGCCATCTAGCTTAGCCCTGCTCCCCTAGTAGCGGAGCGGGAGATACTCTCGGCGGTTTGCTTTGTAGTCGCTGGAAGAGGTCCGCAATTTACATGTGACTGAGGCCCTGTTAGGGTATATTTTCGGCCCCCCATAATTTGGGACCGTTATTCGGAGGATAGCCACCTCTTCTTTTCCAGCTATCGGGCTCTTTATTCTTTTATTCACCTTTAAACACAAGGAATCCTGGGGTTGCCCAGAAAATCCAATATTGTAGGGGTGTTAGTTAAGGTTAAAAATGAACACCGATTAACAACAGCACCTTTATAATTTTGGACCTCCCCTTGAACTCCGGGACTCCCTGTTTTAACGGTGGATAAAAAATAACAAAAACCTGCAATCACTCTTATACGGGTGGTTGACATGTTGTGTTGTGGTTTGCAGCTATACTGTGATATCTGCACCTTTCGGCTCAACACATCAAATTTCAACAAGCTCCTGGTTATTCACCCTTTACAAAATGCTTGTTTTGGGTCTGTTCCTTTTTTATCCTAAAAAATTCAGCACTGGAGTCCATATGGTTTGTTAGACATCATAACTCTTCTTCTTCTTCTTCTTTTGTTGTCTCACTGATACCAGGTTTTAGCTCAGTGTTGTGGCTTTCTGTATTTGTCCTGCGCTTCTCGGATGGCTTGTGTGGTGGATTCATTCTTCTTTTTGCAGGTTTCTGATACACCATTTATCCATATTTTTCTTGGTTTTCCTCTTGAATACAAAAAAATTGGGTAAAGGTAGAGTCGGGAGATGTGAACCAGCGTCAGTGCACATGGTTATAAACCATAAGTGCTCTGCCACCAGTATGGACAGCTGATAAGAATTGTCCGTCTGTGTCGCCGTTCGCACGTAACTGTAGCTACAGTGACGTTCCTCCACTTACCCCAGAGTATCAGTCTGGTACCCATTTCCTAGAGGCTGGGTGAACCCCTGGAGCCACCCGGTTTCGAACACCGACCGTGGGCTGCAGCGAGTCGCAGCTGGATTTGAAAGCGAGCTTCTTATCGACTGCGCTAAATTGAATATCACATGTTTTCAATTTTGAAAAAAGGAAAAACAAGAAAGTAGCATATCCATTGCAGAACCAGCAATGGCATTTTTTTTTCTATTTTTGATTTCCTTTATCAATTTTCGGAAATTTGCCAATGCTTTCTAAACGGTCAGCTCTCGGTACCACTGATCGTTGGCAGCTGGAATCAAACTGCAGCACAAAATTACAAAGCACACTCGCAATGTTTAAGCCACAAACGTTGTTAATAAGAGCAGGCCAAAAATTGTGGACGAGAGAGGGGCTAAAGTGAATGAGATGGGGTTTTTAGGACAACCATGTCCTAAAAGACGACTAATTAGGGGTTTTTCCTTTGAAGTCAGAATGCGTCTGCCGTAGAGGCAAGGAACCAACAGTCTGCAAACAGATAAGCCAGGTCTGTGAAATGGATGTGCTTTCAAAAACTTAAATAAGTTCTGTAGCAAAACTAAAGTCCAGAGATGGGTGAACAACCAGAACTTTCTGCTAGGGTTTAGAAGCAGTAAAAGCTAAGAAAAAAATACTGATTGATTTTGTAAAAATTGTGCTATCACTGCTAATTTTCCATGATTCACTTCCATATTAAGGGTAAAACTAAGAATAATAATTATTTCTTTTTTTTTCCCAACAGATTACAAGCAGTTTTTAATTGATGATCAACAGAATTTGTGCACACTGTAACATGGGATAATAAGTAATCCTTTCATTCTTCACATCTAATATTTCATCTGCAACGTGAATTTACTACAGACGGAACATCACAAGCTTGACATTTCAAGATGGCTGCACATATAGACTCACATGCAGATCCTCAGCTGAATGTTGTGCATGAAGTCGAATACGGACAGACCATACTCATGAAACTCAACGAGTTTCGCCATGAAGCTCTTTTCACGGACGCCGTTCTGTGTGTGGGCCAAGAGGAATTTCCATGCCATAAAAACGTCCTGGCGGTCAGCTCGCCGTACTTTCAGGCCATGTTCACCAGCGACCTTAAAGAAAGTCGCGAGAATCGTATCAGCTTCAGTGAGGTGTCGCCATGGACAATGAAGCGAGTGATAGACTACGCCTACAGTGGTAAGATTGAAATCACCACAGCCAATGCTCAGGATCTGCTAGCTGCCGCCTGCCTGTTCCAGTACCCGGCTATTGTAACTGCCTGTGGGCGGTTTTTGGAGCGGCAGCTTCATCACACCAACTGTTTGGGTATTGAAATGTTCGCCCGGCTGCACCTTTGTTCGGAGCTCGCAGCCAAAGCTCATCTGTTTGCGCTGGAAAACTTTACTTCTGTTGTTGAGAGTGAGGAGTTCCTGGAGCTATCTCTGGAAAAACTTCAGGAGTATATTTCTAGTGACCTAATTGACGTGAGGACCGAGGAAACCGTGTTTAATGCTGTTGTAAGATGGGTTAAGTTCGATTTGGACGAGAGGCAGAAATATTTGTCCGAATTGTTAGGGAATGTTCGTTTAGCTGTGCTAGATATATCAAACTTAAAACTGATAGAAAATAATCCGTTAGTGTGTGCTTCGGAAAAATGTCTGTCTTTAGTCCAGGAGGCGCAGCAGCTGAAAATGTCATTCCATGAAACTCAAGGAGGGAAGCGAAGGCGGAGTATGCAAGATTCACTAATACAGCCACGACCTTCGACTGTTGCCAAAGAAGTTGTCGTAGTCATCGGTGGAATTCCTAATGACAGTTATATTACCAGCAGCGTTGAAATGTATGACCCACATAAGGACAAATGGTTTAGTCTGCCAGATTTTCCCGAGCGGATATTGTGGTGCAGTGTCGCGGTTTTAAACAATTGTATTTATGTGGCCGGCGGAATTTTGGATGGGCATATCATTTCGAAAGTATGGAAATTCGATGCCACGGAGAGGAAATGGCAGCCTGTAGCTGCCATGCTTAAACCTCGAGCTCGACATGCTGCTGCAATTATTGATGACAAGATGTATGTTTTAGGCGGAGTTCGGTACGAAAGAAAAATGCTCTCGGTAGAAACAATTGAATGCTACAATCCAGCGACAAATAAATGGTCAACTGCTGGCAGAACAACGCACCCTCGTAAGGAGTCTTGTGTCGTGCCTTACAATAAAACGATCGTTGAGGTCGGCGGGGTGCAAGGGGAGGAGGCGGTCGTGAAAACAATGGACAGTTATCATATCTTAGATGATTCAATTAGGCCGAGCGGGGAACAATTTGTGTTACCAGAGAACATCCGGTTTGCCAAAATTGTTGTCATCAACGCCGTTTTCTACATCATATGGGAGGACACGGGGAAACTGATTGCTCTTAATGCTCAGAGACGGACATTTAAGCTTCTCCCTTCCATGCAGCATGCTCGGACGTCGTGTGGGGCTGCTGTTGTCAATGGAAAGATTTATGTCACGGGCGGTCTCGTCGATTCAAAACCAACCAATTTTGTCGAGTGCTTTGACCCAGTTACCGAAACCTGGACAATTGAGAAGCCTATGATGGAAGGACGGGCATACCATGGTTGTGTCACACTCAAAATGAACTAATGTCAGTTTTGATGTCACACTTAAAATGAACTAGTGTCAGTTTGTTGTTGTCACACTCAGAATGAACTAGGGTCAGTTTCTGGTTGTGTCACACTCATAATGAACTAGGGTCATTTTTTGATTGTGTCACACTCAAAATAAACTAGTGTCAGTTTGTGTTTGTCACACTCAAAATGAACTAGGGTCAGTTTTTGGCTGTGTCACACTCAAAATGAACTAGTGTCAGTTTGTGGTTGTGTCACTCAGAATGAACTAGGGTCAGTCTTTGGTTGTGTCACACTTAAAATGAACTAGGGTCAGTTTCTGGTTGTGTCACACTCAGAATGAACTCGTGTCATTCTTTGGTTCACACTCAAAATGAACTAGTGTCCGTTTTGGCTGTGTCACACTCAAAATGAACTAGGGTCAGTTTTTGGTTGTGTCACACTCAGAAGGAATGTGTCATTTTGGTTGTGTCATGCTCAAAATGAACTGGTGTCAGTTTTTGGTTGTGTCACACTTAATATGAACTAGTGTCAGTTTGTGGTTGTCACACTCAAAATGAACTAGTGTCAGTTTTTGGTTGTGTCACACTCAAAATGAACTAGTGTCAGTTTTTGGCTGTGTCACACTCAAAATGAACTAGTGTCAGTTTTTGGTTGTGTCACACTCAAAAGGAACTAGTGTCAGTTTTTGGTTGTGTCACACTCAAAATGAACTAGTGTCAGTTTGTGGTTGTGTCACACTCAATATGAACTAGTATCAGTTTGTGGTTGTGTCACACTCAAAATGAACTTGGGTCAGTTTGTGGTTGTGTCACACTCAGAATGAACTAGGGTCAGAGTTTGGGTGTGTCACACTCAGAATGAACTAGTGTCTGGGTTTGGGTGTATAATGCTCAAAATCACACTCAGAATTAACCAATTTTTAGTTGACACCCTCAACATCACACGGAAAATGAATCAGTGTTAGTTTTTGGTCGTGTTGCACAGAAAATGGAACTCATGTCAGTTTTGTGTTGCACAGAAAACAGGAACGCATGTAAGGTTTTTGATTATGTCACTCTGAGAATGAGCTTGTCACTGTTTGATTATGTCTTGCTCAGAGTCTGCTTATGTCAGTTTTTGATAGTGTCACAATCGAAATGAACTTTCGGTTTTTGTTGTGTCATTCAGATTTGCTTGTGACAGTTTTGGACAGTATCACACTGAATAATCATATATCCATTTCCAATAATGTCACATCCAGATTGAGCCTATATACTACTAATTTGCGGTTGTCACTCTTAAAATTTGTAAGCTTTTGCGTCTTTTTTTTCCCACACTCAAGATGAGTTGTTATTCGTTTTTGATAATGTGACATTCAAAATTAGTTCATATCAGTTTTTGATATGTCGCGCTTGTCATTTGTTTCTTTCATGTTCAAAATTAGTTCCTATTAATTTTTTTTTTTTTATATTGTCATGCTGGAAATGAGTTTGTTTTAGCTTTATTAACTTCAGCCACAGAAACAAAGTTATTCATTCTGCTTGTGAATTGGGCATTTCCTTTTTTTAAAATATAAATGTTATTTTACAATTCCCCTCTGTTAATTAATGGTTTCTATTTTAAGATATGTTTTTTCAAATTTGTTTTCTGTAATTTTAAACGTTGGATGTTTTTGTTTTCCGTGAACTAGGTTCGTATTTTTGTTGACCATCCCGCCAAAAAGGGTCCACAGATGACTTTAGTTTACCATATTTTTCCATGTAAAATATGAAATATTTTACCACATTTTTCAAGTTTAAAATTGGGAGCCATCTTTTTCTTTTTCTTCGCGTTCACCAACTGTAAACTCTGGCGGAAAGTTCAGGTTGTTCGTTCACTTCTGGACTGCAGTCCTCCTATTCCAGAACCTGAGTGTTGCGTGTGCATCCGTTTGACAGATCTGACTAATTTGTATGCAGGCTGCTGGTTCCTTGCCTCTCAGGGCTGGTTCCTTGCCTCTCAGGCAGATGCACTCCAAATTTGAAGGAAGCTCCCAATTAGTCGACTCTTACCACATGCTTTTGGGTAGGCAGTGGGTCTGTTCTTGTTTTCCCTATAATAGGGCCCCGGAACCCACACGGGGAGGGAGCCATCTTGTACACAGAATGTGATTAAAATATTTGTTTTATGTTTGGCTTTAAACAGAAAAAAAGGATAAGGCTTGTCTTGTACACGGAGAAATATGGTAACTGTTAAACTAGGTTTCCGAGATTAGCTTCTCTTGGATTCTCATCCAGATAGTAGCTCCTTGAGTCACTTGATTTTAATCTGTCAAAGCATTCCTGGAAAGAAAAGTGTGGTGGGGGGGGTCCAAATTTCCTTGACTTCAGGTGCTGTTCTATTGTTTTGCTTTGAGCGGTTGAGTGCTAATCATGTGTCACCTTCTTTGCAAAATCAAACATGTAACTGTTGACACTCAAAGAGCACTATTCAGTACAGTATTCTTACCAACATTATGTTACCAGTGCCAAGCATGGACATATTCTGCTTTATTCCTTCTACTGTTATTCTTTGCCAGATATCGCTGAGTTGTTCTCCAACATATTTTAGCCTCATTAAAAGACGTAAATCTCTTTTTTTTTAAACCACTAACCGCCACTACCCCCCTTTTTCGCCAAATGCCAATTCATCATCATCATCATCATCATGTGGCAGGTTCTTTGCCGACTTTCTATCTCTTGGTCTGCCTAAAGGAAACTCGGTCTTTTGTCAGCTCTCCCGCCTCATATACTTTTGTATTAATGGAGTCACTTAAATCCTCTGCCAGTCTTCATATTGGTCGACCCCTGGCCGTCCTTCCTGGTACCATGCCTTCTGCTATTATTTTTTTCTAATCTGCCAAGGAGCTTGACCAAAATATTTCAGCTTCGCAGACAAGATGCTCTTTATTAGCCACATATTGCCTGCATTTACCATTTTTCTGGTGTAGGGGGGGGGGGAGCTCTGAGCCTGAGGATCTAGGGCTGCAAGGGTTGTAATGGATATCAAAGAAGAAGATAACACCACATTGTGATATCTCAATTGAAGGAAAACGGCTTAATCAAGTCAAAAAAAATTTAAATATCTGGGTACAGTCATATCATTAAATGGAAAATTACTGAAATATTTTAAAAGGAGAACATGTCGAGCAAAGGCAGCATTTCATAAAATTAGAAATATCTTATGCAATAAGTCATTCTCATTTAATGTCAGAAAGAGAGGGCTAAAATGTTACATTGAACCTGTTCTGCTGTACGGCAGCAAATCTTGGTACCTTGGACGGCCAGAGTAACTAACAACGATTGTTTGAAAGTAGCTAATGAAAGTATATCTCTAAATACAACAATAAGAAAGAGACAAACACTGTTCTTTGACCACGTAATGAGAAGAGAGACATTGGAGAACGTCGTGACAAGTGGAAAGAGGGGTAGAGGCAGACCAAGAGAGAAGATGCTGGATGGGCTGAAACGATGGCATGGAAGGATATCATCAAAAGAGCTGTTCCAGGCAACCAGGGATCGCAATCTATGGAGCTGCATGAGCGCCTACTCCAACTGACAGGGCACACGATGATGATGATGACGGGTAGTGCAGTTTCCATGGGCTGCAGGCCAAGGACGCTTCTTTGACGATACTGATGACATCCAAGGGGCTGTAACGTCGACTATAAGGGCCATAACAACAGAAGAACTACAGAGATTGTTCCAGTGTTTGTTAAATTGTGCCACTTGCTGTATCAGTGCACAAAGGGCTTACTTTGAATCGGATACAGGTTACATCTTCAACTGTTGATTATTTTAATTTTTATGGAATTAGTCTAAGTTCTTAATTGTCGGACCTTGTATGAAAACCAGTTTGGGAATATTATAAAACATGCATTTGTCTGCATCTTTGTTTGCAGCCTTTAACACACATACCCCCCCCCCCCCCCCCCCCCAAAAAATATTTAATAGCAAGATCCATTTTTTCTTCTTGTTTTTTGCGTGCAGGGTGGGTTTAAAAGATATCCTACCTCTAACTTGAAAAAAAAAAGAAAATAGTTATTCAGCGAGAGATCAGAGACACTAATCCTCTTCTTCATATTTATAGCTTTCACCGACTTTAAACTCCGGTGGAATATTCTGGTTGTTTGTCCACTTCTGGAAGTTGGTCTTGTTCCAGAACTTGCGTGTTGCATGCACATCCCTACAGATCTGGCATTGTAAACAATTTTTATTATACAGACTGCTGATTCCCTGTCTCTCAGACAGATACACTCCGACCTTAAAGGGGACCGACCCCCTTAATTAGCCGCTTTTTACAGAATGCTTGTTATGGGGAGCAGCCGTAGGTCTGCCCTTTAACACCCCCCCTCCCTCCACAATGGGCCCCTGAACCTCATGGGGATCTGATGAAGGAAGTTTCCTTTGTACTGCATGGAAGGTTGGGGGGGGGGGGGGGGGGGGGGGGCTACAGCTCATCAGTCATATCCCTTTTGGTGAAGTAGCATTTTTAGCTGGGGGGGGGGGGGGGGGGGTATACTGTGAGGCAGTGGACAAACTATTTACCATAGATTCTGAAGGTCAAGGGTTTATTTTACAGAACGCTGCTACGTTACAGGCGTGCATGTTTTTTTTTTTTTTACGATGATCCTTGGACATTGTCATTTTAGAAAGGCAGTTTATGCAGACAGCTATCTCTTCTGTGGAGAATGACCAAGCCAGATTGGATCAAATCCAGTGGAGTCAAATCAGTCCTGTCAGCTTTAACTTCGGCTTGTAGAACTGCCGGAAATCTCAGAGCATCATAGAACTGAGGAGATTCCCACAAGTGCTCCATCCCAGCAGTAAGTGCAGAGTTCCAATCCGGTTGTGACAGTCGCATTGCATAACTGTCTCATCCCTCCCCTGAGTGTTGAATGTCGGCCAATTCTCCGTCACTCCTTGCTGCACCATTCTTTTCAGACCATCCTGATCTGTTTGTGCCTCTGCACTGTTTACTCCCTTCCAAAGGGCTCTTGCAACATCTAGCTTGACA